CCCCAAAACCCCAAAACCCCAAAACCCCAAAACCCCATAAGTAAGAGTAAGAGTTAATTTGAGGTGGTAATTTAAGCTTTAAATATTTCAAAGTTTAATATTTGAAAAGAATAATACAAATATCTAAAACTAAAATAGAGAAAAGAAATGGTACACAGACCCCATATTTTGAGATATAAAGGAAAGTTAAAGAAGATAGACTAGGAAAAAATGCAAAAGGTCAGGGATGCACAGAACACTGCCAGATAAGAAGTCAATAAACTTAAGATTGGACCAACCATGACAGCAATTGCTACTTTTGGAGCAGCAATCATTTTTATCACTCCAGTTATCTACTACTATTACAGTAAAAATTAGAAATAAGAAGAGTACTTTAAAATGCATAAATATCAGGAAAATGATGAAGACAAAGAAGGAGAATTATTGCTTTTGGAATCTAATTAATATGAGATGAGGCCAGATTAAGTTAAAGATATGTGAGATTTTATAATGAAAATAATTAGGCTTTTGTATTGACATTTATTGTATATTTAATTCTGATTTTAATTAACTTTTTAATAAATTTAAATGTCAAATCAAGAGAAAAAAGCGCAAACTGCTTTTTAAAAACTTATCAAAAGAGCTAAGACATAGAATAAAGGTGTGATGGTCGTAGATATCAGCTTCTATGACAATCTTAAAGAAATTTTTCATATATTTGAAGAAGCAAAACCAATTGAATTAGGTTTAACTGACGGAGGGGCATTATTTGAACTAACAAAACAGTTTATTGAAGCAATTTTCCATTCATTCTTCTGTCAAAATGCTTACAACTAGTTTAAATAAGGAAAACTAGCCAATAAAGACATACACGAACTACTGAGAGAGTATAATAAAGGAGGCCACGAGTATGAGAGTGGAAGTATTGATATATAAAACGTGAAGAACGCTGGAAAAAATAGTATTAATGCCAAAAAAGGAAGCGGATCACCACCTTCTTTTCTAAATTTCAAATCTCAAAAACTCGCAACTAATAGAGAAGAATAAGATATTAAGAGCCTATATGATGTATGCTTCGACATTATTATTTACTTATTGATTTCGCTCAGTGAAAATGAGGATGGAGAGGTTAACTATGACGTTTCAAGCAATTTAATGTAGACCTTCACAAGACATTTGAGGATGCATTTTCAGCAGATTGCAAGTTCCTCGAATAGACAGTACTAATACTGCTTACAATCAGTTTTAGCTTTGAGTAAAATTCTTTAAAACTCTAAGAACATGATGAGTGTCGCGAAGGAAAGAGGTATTATCAATAATTTGTTCCAAATAGTGCCTATTATGTTTCGAGAAGAAGCTGAATAGATGAATTAGCATATCATAGGTTAGGCGGGACCTGATTTTAATTTGAATACTCTAGTAATTGGCTAGGGCTTTTAAGGCTCATAGGGGTATCAATAAGTTTAGGTTTAGCAAGTAGGATAGGGAGGTCTTCAAAGTGGAAAGAGTAGTATAGCTAATATGGGAGGAATCAATATGGTATCCTAGAGTCCAATAAATTTAAATTCAAAGAATGAGGAAGAGAAGAAAGGATCTTATTTAGATAAACCAATCAAGAAGAAACTGAGTTTCAATAGAGCTTCATCTGAGCCTCCATCAGGAAATAAGAATGCAGTGATGCCCGTCAGGGAGGTATGAAATTATAATTTCAATTTACAAAATAGGATATGATTGATGAGGAAGTTGACTATGATACAAAAGGAGGATAGGATGTTGAAAGCAGTAGAAATATATAGCGAATCATTGGAGTTCATGAAAAGAACATCCCACCTTTGATGATGAGCTAAGTCTAGAGTATGCAGTCTTAAATTGCTTTACAACAATAAAACTCTTCAAATTCTGTAATGAACAACTACTTCAATATGCCACTAGGCTAATTCAATACCACAATCAACCAAAACTAATAAATTGGATTCAAATTTAACATTATTCCTCAAACTACATGTAAGATTTTAAAATAGCCTAATTGCTTTAGTGGCAAAATCCAGATTGACTAGAAGACAAATGTCAATGAGCAGAAAGCATACTTAAAAAATGTCTTCAGTATCTAACTTTGCTTAACTAATGTATGGAGAAGAATCAGGAAAACACAGAGAATAAAACAACAGATTCGATATGAGCTCATTCGATTAAAATGACATTAATCAACAATAGAAATCTGCTAGTCAATAGAGAAAAGGTCCATAGATCCCTAAACTAAACATTAACTCTATAGTATATGACAATATTAACAGTGTTTAGCGAATTGATGCTCTTGGCTTATAAACAACTAATCATGCGGCTGCAGCATAGCTCACTCATCAAAACAAATCAAGCAACAGATCTAACCAAATTTCAGCATATAGTAACAATAACTTTGAGAATTAGCTTAATGCTGTTTCTAATAAAATGGGTGGTAATTTTCTTAGTAACTATCAAACAAATGCAAATGTCATCAGATAGCAAGCAAATGAAAGTGATGATCATAACATCTCAATCTACGATGAAATTAACGGTTCATTTGTTGATGACTTAAATGATGGGAACAATGGATATATCTACGATAATGCAGAGGAAAAATTAAGATAGTTAGCAATACAGTTAGGAGAATCTTGTCTTACTAATGATTTAGCAGCATTAATAAGCTAAAAACGAGACCTTGAATTAGTAAAATCAGCTAGGAAAACAGTTACTAATTTAAGGTTGAATAGACAAGGAATGCAAAAGAATCACACAATGAATATCAAACCTATTTAAAGAAGCATTAGTGTATCATATACAGCCGAGAACATATTTAAAAATAAAGGATCATAGAAAGATTTCAGCGATGTCATGCATAGTCTCATAAAGATGGACAATCAAGCTGTTAAAATGAATCTAGATTCAAAAAGGCATTAGGAAACTGCTACAATCAACAAAAGAACCAGACTTGTGGTACTGAATTTGATATATATGCTCTTGAAGAAATATGATATTGATGAGGCCAGATTTTTGAAGCATCCAATAAATGCATTGAACAGTTATATTTAGTCTAAGGAATTCTAAACTAGAAAGTATTAAAAGTAGGTTTTGGCTCTTGAAAATCAATAATTTTACTTGGATAAGGATATATAGTTGAACCCAGATGAAAAAGTTAAAATATCTACAAGCGGAAGAATCATTAATATACATTTGCATGAGAGAAATATAAGAACTCTCTAAGCTGAAGATAACTCTCATCTATAGTAAATAACTGAAGTTGAAGTCAATTAATCTGATACTGAAGAGATAAAAGAGTCTGATAGATATTAGACACAGGAAAATTAAGGAGAATATTCAAGGCTATCAAACGGCTAAAATAAATCTGATATTTATCATAGATTCTAATCCTTTATCAGGCTTGAAGGAAATGAAAAATTGTCCTGTTTTTTAGAAAAGAAATCAATATTCGAGCAAGATTTTTACCAGGAAGAGAAGGTCATATATAGCATCTATCAAAAATTCACATTTGTAAATGAAGACATTTTAAGGAAGTAGGTAATGAATGAACTTGCAAATTTCGCAGCTAAAGACAAAAGCTTTGATTCTAAAATGTACAATACTTTAACCTCTGCTAAGATTCATGGTAATAGCTCTTTCGCATAGGGTTTATTTATGGTCAACAATCTAATGGGGTCAAACAATAATCTGCCACCACCAATTTCAGGCACTCCAATTAAGAGCCTTAATAACATGAATAACAATTTATCCTTTGATGAGAATGATGAGGATTTTTACTTCAAAAGAGATCGTAATGGAGATGGAATGTACATACTATAGAATCCAAGTTAAATGTGGATGCACAATGGAATAGCATATGAATTAAACTCCTCTAATAATTCTAAGTCAACTGCCTCTACAACTGTTTCAAAAGAAAAAATCAGGAAAAAGCTAGATGTCCTATTGTATTCAGTTGATAGAAGGATGAAGTACATTTTGCAATAGTATTTCGATAAGACTTAAACAAGATTTGCTGAGGACATGACTAAAGAGCTTAATACACTAAACTCTTATTTGGAGTAATAAGCCTCTAGAATAATGCTTTATCAAATTATTGAGGTAAACTTAGAAGCTCTTCTAATGATAAAGAAATGCTTAATTGATTGTGCTCTTAAAACAAGTAAATTAATCTTAATTTCATAACTCATCTAATACGAATTTAGGTACTTTTGTAATGGACTTTAGTAAGCATATTGGTGCAAATGATATCCTTATATCAGCTAATATGAAATCGCGAACTCCTTAAAATTAAGTGTTCTCTAAAAATAATTATTATATTGAGAATTAGAAAGCTCATCGAAAGTATGATTTATTAAATGTACAATGTTTTTAGCTTTTTCGCTGAGTATCTTCGATTAGTATCAAGGCTTTTACGAATGAGTTAAACTCCTGAAACTATGAAACTGCTAAATGAAGTTTTGATCTTTGATGAATAGTGGCAAGAGAGTATTAAGACCTTCTCTATTTCTCTTTATCTCTCAGATATAGTCAGCACTATCAATATCAATGACAGGTCAAACACTCAAAATGTCTCCCTTATTATCGATGAGCTTAGAGGTATAAATCTAATTAACTTTGACGAACCTTACTTCATCTCCTTAATAATGTCTGCTCAGAATATTGAACTGTATCAATAAACTAAGGATAGTATATACCATGTGCTCTTTTGCTCTCTTGACATTATGAGATATTTCAAAAGTGTTTTGCACTTTTACCACGATGCAATATAAAGATACTTTCAAAACAGCAACCACAATCAAAAGAATAAGTACCCAGCTAGTGGTGGACCTGATGGAGACAAAATGAAGTCAGATATGAAGCCAATCAATTTAGACAAGAAAGTAGACTATAATAGCACTTAAAAAGGAAGTATAACGGATCAGACAGGAAACACAAATAACGATGTGATTTTATAGAAGTATTGGAAAAATGTTATTAGAAAGATCCTTTATCAGTACATGTATTTGATAACACCACCAAATGGGCTGTTTTCTCAATACCTATAATACAATGCTATAAACTATGTAAACCAAAATTCTTCAAATAACTACTACTCCAAGTTAAGTCTTTCTCCATCCAAAAGAAATGACACTTTAAATTAAGAATACTCTTATAGAAGTGGCAATCCTCCTCTAAACTTCAAACTAACAAAGTCAATAATTAATTTCACTAAGTTAATGTTCAACATTCCAGATAAATTTACTAAGTATGTGTTCATTGAAGAGCTGATGCTGTTTTACATCAGGACTCATTACATATCATTTGTGAGACTTTATAACAAAAACTTCTCAAAGAAGGATCAGATCCTGACTTAAACAAAGGATATATCACTTACTCTTTGTAAAAAGCACTTGGAATGTTTGTTTGGAATTGCTAAAAATAGAAATGAAGATACTAGAAGAAAGCTTTATCAATTCAAGGTAGTTTAATTCCTTACCTAGGAAATAGAACTAGAGTTTGATGTTTAGTAACGAAGAAAGAGATTTATCCAATTGAGCAAAGAAGAAGAAGATAAGATTAAATAAGACTAAGCAAAAGACTAGGTAATCAACTTGAAGTAAGAAGAATAGAAAGCTCAAAAATAACTGCAAAATCCTCCAATTATTGAATAAGCATAAAGCCAGACAAATAAGCCTTAAAATATGCTTGGAATGCTTGGGCTTAAAAAACTTAATTTAACTGGTGTTGCTGGTGCCTCTTTATTCTCTGGAGCAGGTGATCCAAACGAAGCTTAAGCACAAGACATTTCCATTATAACTATAGAGTAAAATAATCAGGCAACGTAAATTGATAAATAATTCCAATAAATAAAAGATGGAAATCCACCTTTAAAACAGAATCTTGAACTTAACAAGCAGGATTAGATTGAATCAAAAGTTAATAACTCAAAAGAAGATGACAAGGTATAAGTAATATAATAAGAAATATTTCCACCTCCTTAGAAGAAAGGTCTCCCACCTGGTTTGAAAAAGTTAAATATAACTGGACTTGGCCTATCAGACTTAGTATAAGATAATAATGATGTAAAGCCCGCTAATATTGAAAAACCTGCTAATTAAGTTGAGGAAATTAAATAGGAAATAATATAAGAAGCCCCTAATTAGTAATTACCTAAGAAATTGCCTTTTGGAATGCCTGCTCTAAAAATTGCAGGACTGGGTTTATCAGATCTGGTACCAGATAAGCCAGAAGAAAAGAAGCAACCTGAACCAGAGAAAATATAAAAGCAAGAAACTACTTTGAAGTAAGAGAACTAAAATGAAGATAAAGTAGTTGAAGAAATAAAGTAAATCTAGCCTCAGAACTAAATAAAAAAACCGATGGGATTAGGCTTTAAGATTCCTGCTTTAAATGTTGCTGGTCTTGGATTATCTGATTTGGTTAAGGATGATAAGCAAGAAGAAATCAAAGTCCAATTAAAAATTGAGGAAATCAAAAAATCTCCTAAAATCTAAGAAAAATAGCAACTTTAGTAGTAACAATAACCTCCTAAAAAGCTAGGAATTCCTAAACTCAAGATTGATGGCTTAGGACTGTCAGATTTAGTTTAAGATAAAGAAGAATAAAAAAATATGCCACCTTCTATTTAGATTAAGATATAAGATGAGTAAATGAAGACAATAAATCCAGATTAAAACAATCATTAAACAATCGACTATGGAACAATGGGTAAAGAGGAACTATTTAAGAAGTAAGATGGAAATTTATTTGATAAAACAGCGCCACTTAAACTTTTCGATGCTGATGAATACAACAATATGAACAGCCAAAAATCAGTAGAACAATAAAAGAATAGGCAAGGAAAAAGACTCAGTGATCCTTAGCTTATGATGGAATCTCAGGAATCAGCTTAGTTTTTAAACTAAGTAAAGCTCAATCACGGTGGAATGATTATAAATATTCCTGAGGAGAAACTAGATGATAAAAGAAAATAATTACTAAATAAAAATAGAGTAAATTTGATCCCTCCTAGATAAAGAAATTCAATAAGTTAGTCTATCAGGTCAAATAACGAATATGAGGATTCCAATATCTCATTCTTTGACAAAAGATCCCCACCCAAAGACTAAATTCTTAGTGAGTAGTTTAATCTACTAAATCAAAACACCCTTAACCTTCAAGGAATGAAGGTTGAAAGTGTAATGGACAATTTAAGCCAAATGCACTCTCCAAATTTAGATAGAAGAATGACTGTGAATGTAAACTAAAGTGGCATCAAGAATTAGCTTGCAAATACTCCAATGGATACAATCAACTCGATGCATAATGAAAAAAGAACTTAGTCGTTAAATGCAAACCAAGGTTAAACACCTTTAAATAATAGCAGTAGATCCAGTAATGGGAGTTTTGTTGGTAAGAATAAGGTGTATGTTCCATTCTTGAAATTTCCAGAAGATATTCATGAAGATCCCTCAGGGAAGATCAAAATTTACTAGAAACCTGATGAGAATAGATTCAGATTAATGAAATCTAAAGATCAAAATGCAACTCCTGAGATATAAAGGCCACAAGCATAGAATTCAATTACTCTAATTGAATAAACGATTCCTTCATAGTCTAGTCTCACAATGAGTAATTAGAAATAAAAAGGTGGATTTGGGAAAAAGGGAAAACTCTTAAACATAAATAGCTAAAATAGCTGCAATGAAGGTAGTCAAGCTAGCAGTGGTGGTAATGGTGATTAAAAAATCATGAAATTTAACTTTAACATAGAAGACTAAAAACAACTCAGACCTGACATACCTAGACCTGAGAAAAGAGAAGATAAATTATTAGAATCATCAGTACAGAATTTCTAATTCAGTTCTATAAATACTCAAGATTTTTAAGTCCCAACTGTGATTATTAAGAAGCCAACTATCCCAAGTTTGGTGATTCCATAAAAATAAAATGAATCAGAAACTAGTAAGCTCTAGTAATAGATTGAATTCTAATAAGAGCTCAATAAGAATTAAATCGGAGGAGACCTCACTAACCTTGAAAAATCTTTAAATCAACAAAATAATCCAAAGTTTTAATTGTTACTAGATAAAACTCCAAGCGAATAATAAAAATCACCTCAAAAGCAATTCAATAATGTAAAAGCTACTATGACCTAAACTTTGTTCAAGGAGGAAAAAGAAATTGTAAATACTGAGGCCAATTTCTATCTAAAAGAAAGAAATGCTAGACCAATTTATTAAGATGAAGACCTACATGTGCTAATGTTAAGTTTGATGACTTGCTTATTGCTAAAACCAGAAAGAGGTATACTAGATGATCTATATTGTAGCTAGTATCCAATAGATAATGGAAAGTAAAATATATTGTTCCTTTTGCACCATCATATGAATAATCCATAAAATTAACAAATTATTCCTAAAATCTTGAACAAGGTATATGAAATTAATCCCCCTTTAGCTGGGTAGAGACTGCTTAAATTACTTTGTACTTCACTATTTGATATTGGACATTATAACTATGGAAAAAATTGGAAGAAAATAGGAGATGGGGCTTATGCAAAAGTATATGAAGCAGAGACCAATCTCTCAGAGCCATAAAGTGTTGCCATAAAGCAATGCTTACTGCCAAGCACTATATATGACAGATGTGTATTGCATGATATATTCACTGAAATAACATGTCTTGAAGAACTAAGACTTGAGCCTTGTGTGACTGACTTATATGACTATGGACTAGACAACTAATGCTATTATATTGTTCAGAAAAAATATACTTGCTCATTAAGAGAATGGAGAATGCAGCAAAGTAAGAGTTTGAGTGAGAATCTTTCAGTTTATCTCTCTATTTACAAGGAATTTTTGAAAAGTCTTTAGATTATTCATTCTCATAACGTTACTCATTATGATATAAAATGTGATAATGTCTTGATAGATTTTAGCAGTTAAAACTCAAATCATTTATCAAAGTCTGTTTCAATGCTTGAAGACGATAGACTTAAATTAGCAATCGCTGATTTTGGAGAATGTAAGATATTTTCAGATGATAAGGATGAACTCTGCCAAAGAAATAGAGGAACTGATTATTACAAATCACCAGAAATGCTTTAACTAACACTTAACACTAGAAAAGATACAGATAAGTATGACAGAAGAAAATAAGTAGGTACAAATAGAATTTCAGATATATGGTCGGCTGGATGTATGTTTTTCGAACTTCTAACTGGAGAAATACTTTTCTACAATCAGGACTATTTCGCATTCTTGAATAGAGTGACAAGAGCTTAAGAAGCTTTATTTACTTCTGATAAACTGGAATTGATAAATAACAATGTCTATTTGATAGATTTTTTGAAGTATATGCTTGTAAGAGATTCAAGACTTAGACCAAGTATAGATAATGTAGTTAAGAGATTTGAGCATGTTCATGCTCTTCTTGTCTCTACTACTGCTTAAGCCACAACTCTGAACAGATTCACTTTGGGTTTACAGCCTTAAAATTCTCATAATGCTGGGAGAGGTTAGAATACTTTAGATCATCTTCTAGACCAGGCTTAACTAATATTAATATAGAACAGTCAAGTCTATGGTGGAGAGATTAAAGAAGAAAATATTTAACAAAACTAATAGAATAATGATTAAGAAAACCAGAATTAAAATGTATCTCTTATTGATGAGGTATAAAATAAAAAGCCATCCAAAAAGGGTTCAAGCATTGACATAATGCAAATTCTGGAGGATATTTACTTAATCTCTAATAAATGGATAAAAAATAATTAGTTAAAAGCCATAAGAATGGGTGTTACTCATCTAGTTATAGAGCAGAAATATTCATCATAAAGTTTAAGAGACAAATTTGAAACATTAGAGGTACCTGAATTTTGTGAAGATTATCTATTACTAAATAATCATGATAGTAGTAACAATGAGATCAACCCATTCACCTTAATGACAGGGCTCGGGGTGCTTGACTTTTTAAGAAAAGTTGCTCTATAAAGAGGTAAAGTAGCATTTATTGAAAATTCAAATTTAAATGGGGAAACTTTAATGAGAAACGGTATAAGACAAAGATTAATTAGGGAATGTCTCCTTATATGTTTAAACCATATTTTCTAAACTAATGCATATGAAACTTACAATCTAATAAGATCTCAAAATCTTTTCTTTAAAATTTAATCACAAAGACTGGGAACATTGTCGAAATGGTCATAAATTACTAGCAAAATTAATTAATATCTAATGACTTTTCCGAGATTCTAATGCATTTGCGGCTCTTGTCTAATCATTTTGAAAAGATAGTTTGCTAACTATTAAAGCATGTAGACATCAAGCTGCAACTGCTGTCAATACTACAAAAGTGTTGAAAATTCACAGTGCCCATCACCAGGCTGTAATGAATTCATCTAGTACTTAAGAACATTTTTTAAGAGTATTTATGGAGTTGGAACTGGATCATAGGCGATAGACTCTCTTCATTGGGGATTCCTTGAGGAGGAGGATTTCATACTTGGCCCTAACTATCTAGGATAGTAGCAGCATAATACTATTTAAAAAAGAATGATCATTAGCAACATGAGCAAGACGATTGATAAGAATTCTTCTATTGTTAGCATTGTCGAGAAGAAAAATTCAGGTAATGTAGTTAGAGGAGGTGCTATTAAAGAACCAATTGATTTCAACATGATCTCCAAGTCATCAGCAACTGTGAAAAATTACAATGCCTATTCAAGATGGAAACTTTATAAATGCAAGGAATGTCATGTTTGGACTCATGCTGTCAATGAACTGGAAAATAGATATGCCATCTTATTGAACAACAGAATAAAAGATAACTTCTAAGGCATAAATCTATCAGGAGGCCAATAAAAATCTAGCTAAATTAACATTTCTTCTCTCAACAACAAATAATCTAATAGTACAGGAGTAAGAGTACCTATTCTTAAGAGAATCAAACTTAGCTTACCTTTTTGAGTATTAAACTAACAAATAATGCAACTTAAAAATTTAATTTTATTACTGAATCAATATATTATTGCTTGAATGAAGAAATAAAAGAGTGTTAATTAAATTAAGTCAAAAATCTAATTGATGACTTTTGGTCGGATTACATTAAACACTAGCGACCCCAGCACTTTTATTAGATTTTTTACCTCCTTTTTATTACAAATTCTCATCCTAACCTGTTCTATCATCTTCAGGCTCTAAATGAATCTTTTCGACTGTAATAGATTGCTTTCCTTTTAGCTTTAAAGCATAGACATCAAATTCACTTAGGCTACTAATCAATCCATGGAGCTTTGGTTATTTCAAAAGCCTTAGTGTACCATCATACTCACCAATTTTCATCTCCTAGTGATCTTTGAATGAAGTCAATTTTATTACAATATCTGCCAAAAAGAATAAATTACTATTGATATGCTTTGATAGTTAATCCTCATCTACCTAAATAAGACATACTCCATTAGTTGCTCTCATCAAAGCTTTGAGGTTTCTTAATAACCGAATCATGTCTTTCTCTTCCTTTAATATATCCCTTTTATTTTCTTCAAATCCACTACTTTTATTTAGAAGCAAGTTGAAGTTAGGCAATAAAAATCTAAAAATTCTATCATCTTCTTCTGAGCTTAAATGATTCTAGACCTATTCACAAATCTATTCCCACAAATCAATATAATTAGTCTGTGCAGAGTCATATTTCATAAATACAGTCATTTCGTCTTTTTTCAATTATGAACTCATTGAATTAGAGTAGGTATTACCCATCTCTTTTGAGTTGTCAAACTTATAGGATATTTATGAAGTCTAAGAACTGTCTTAGGCATTTTTCTCTAAAAGTGTATTGTATCTCCAGGCAACCTTTAATTATTCCTGCTTTGATTCTTCATATTAAGATGATGAGGCTGATGCCGATTGAGAAGTAGAACTTGATGTACCATTAGGGTCTTTCATTTTGATAACACCGGGAAGGAATTTCATCCACCAATCCCTCTCTCTAAATTAATCAGCATCCAAGATAAGCAATTTATGTTCATTAACTATTCCTTCTCCCAGGTAGGTTTTCAAGAAATGTGAATAATAATGAGAGTAAGAATCCTCTATCAATAAAACAATGCTACCAATAGGTAATCCTCCGCCTATCAAAGCATCTAATGAAGGATTTCCTGAGGATACACAGTATTGCTAGTTAGCATATGGCCTCACTCCTTTTTGCTATTTGTATAGCTATGGTGCAGTATTGATTTTTTTGACAAATGACATTTTGATGATTAATAATAAATAAGTATAATCTGAGATAATAATTTGTCGATTAAGTAATTTAATAAGCTAATCATTTCACTTAACTATTTAACTTCTCATTAAATATCAATAAACATCTTAACTCATATTCTCATTTCTTAGTGAAGAATGCTGCTAGAGATGATTGACCTTTGGCTTTAGATACAGGTGCATTCTATGTTTATGCAGGTTAGCCCTATCCTGTTAGATTCAGCACTGTTTTCTATATTTATTTAGCTGGCTGAGATTTTGGTGGAGGTAAATCATATTCTTCAAAGCTAGAGTAGTCTTCATAGTTTACATAGCCATTTTTATCATAAAACTATCTTTGTTTAATGACTTTTCTTCTTCCTTTAGCAATGCCTGTTGTATTTGAAGGAATATCACCGTTTGGCTTTTCATTCTAAGATGGTTGAACTACCGTGGCTCCCATTTTTTGTTTTACCATATTGGAAATATTCGTGTTCTCTTTCATTGAACTCATAGACTGAACATCCATTTCATTGTTTCTATCGTCCTCTTCATCATCCAAGTTAATTGTTCTCTTTTTTTGATTTGTCTTGCGATCCCTTCTAATACCTTATTCCTCTTCTTCATTATTCATATCTATATCCTAAGTTTTCTTAAGTCGCTTGCCACCTGATCCTTGCTTTTTCTTATCACCCTCCTCATCACTATCAAATATTTTGTTACTCTATAGCTTCTTAATTATCGAATCCTATGATTCATCCTTCTTGAGAAGACCATTTGCTTAGTTAGACTAATTCTAGGATTTCTACAAATCACTACCTCCCGATCTTCTATTCTTTGATGCAGGCTTCTCACCTGACATATGTTCATCAATCATTTCATCATCTTTAATATGAACAACCTCTTGCATTTTAGTAGGGAATGCCTTAGCTTAGACAGTTGGTTAGTTCTTAACTGGAGATTAAGATCTCATCGGTTCATCGCCCTTCATTATAGGCTTATTAGTCATTATGCTTGACTAGTTTTAAGTTGCTTAGTTTTACTTCCTTTCATCCACTAAGTGAATCTTTTATTGCTCTTAAATTACAGTTTACTTATTTGATGCCATTAGAGTTTGTTATTACGGTTTGTTGGCAGGTTAATTATTAGGCCTTGCAAATGGATTATTTGCTGGCTTATTTGCACCTGCATTATTAGTTGTTGTGGTGGCTTATTATTTGTTAGCAGGCATATTATTTCCATTTAAAGGCTTTGGTTATGTCTTTAGTTCTTCTTTCCCAGATTATCCTGGTTTTCCTCCTAGTTTCTTTCTGTTAATGGCATTTTGATGAATGACGTTGTTTGAGTGATCAAAGGTAAAAACTTGGTTGAATGTGTTAAATGAGTCTCCCAGCCTCTTATTATTGAACAACTCTCTATCAATATCAAAACTCTCATTAAACAATGCATATATGTAAGCATTCTACAATACTTAGCCTGATTTTATTATATCTAACACTCAAATTATGAAAATTTTAAAAGCTTACTCTAAAGTTCATGCTCATATACAAGCTTAAACTCAAGCTGATCTTAGTGTTCCACACTTAATCGTTCAATCATGAATAGCTTCTTCAATTGCAAATTTGATTTTTTGCTACTTTTAAATGCATAGTTCATCATCAATCTATAGAAAAGTTTTAATATAATATGAAGTAAGAATATTAATCATACTATTTAGCTTGGGTTTAGTCGATACTCATCCTTGCCATCAAATCATAAATTGTAACCTTTATCTGTATTAATGTCAAAGTATACTTACCATCTATGAATGAAGCATCTACTCGATTTGATTAAGACTAGATTGATTGGCGCTATTAGTTTGCATTAATTCGCTCAAATTTTAATTTGATAATTTTTCAATTTTCTGTATTTTTGTTTTCATAATTTACTCAATTCTACTTATATTTAACTAGCGGGGTTTTGGGGTTTTGGGGGTATTATCAAATTAATAGGGGTAAACAGTTAAGATGAT